TATAGGGTGGTACAGGGTTATTTTTTCTGAATTTGTCCGCGGCCTATATTTTTTATCAAATTATATTAAAATGTTATATTTAAAAAATTGAAATATTTATTAAAAATGAAAAAAATAATAAAGTAAAATTAATCATAAAATAAAAAATATACATTAATAAAAACAAAAAGAAATTAAACAATTTCTTTTTGGGGTTATTTAAAAATAATATTGTTATTATTTTTTAAGAAATAAAAAATATTGAATTTAAACAATTCATCCTAATATTAATTTTTGCGTTTTACAAAAAAAAAGACCATATTATACCTTATTTATCGAGTTATTTGATGATTTTTTTCATAAAAGATTGATATGAGTAATAATTTCATATCAAAGAAAACAAATTAGTATCAGTTATAGTTTTCGTGGCGGATAGCATTTATAAGTCATGCTTGCTATATCCACTATCTACCGGATCAATAAATACTCTTCTTGTTTCATAGGAAGTGTTTCCTTCTGTCCAAATTCTATGTATTACGATAATATCTGACATTTTGTTACAACAATGTATCATTGTATTAATGCATTTTAATAAAATACAATATGAGATTTTAAATATCAGAAGATAATAGAAGATAATAGAAAAAGTGTCTTTTTTTTCACAAAAATTAATAAATTTGTCATAAACATTTGTTTAAAGTGAAAATAATAGAAATAAATCTAAATGAATTTATATATTAAATGCAATTTGCAAATTTAATTTAAGTGATGAAAGTTTAAGATTTTAAATAGTAAAGTATATCTTGCAATATCTCATAATTCGTATTTAACAAAATTAAATTTAATAGTAAGTTCATTTTTAAAACGAAAACAAATTTTAATTTCTATAAGAACTTTTAATTTCCATTTTTTCATTTTGATCTTATTTATTTTCAAATTTGGATGATCAACTTATATAGAAATCAAAAAATGATATTTTCCATTTTTCTTATGTTTTTTAACGATATCAGTTATATTTATATCTAAAAGAAATTTATTTCTCTTATTAAAGAGATATTAATAGAAATAAATGGTTAAGGGATTTAACGATCAATATGTTCATTACATTATGAATTACTTTATGAATTTTTCAGATATATTGGAAAAAAGTCCAGAGAAAACAAAAACTATCTATACTTTGGTCGGAATAAGTCGGATTTTACAGCATGCGTGCAAATAGATGCGTAGATACCGACTGCTCGTATCTATTTATAACGGCGACGGATCGCGAGGCAATTGACCGCGTGGCCTTGACTTCCTGTTGACCCAAGTGCCCCTAGGGAATTTTAGCGTACATCGTGGAATTTCTTACCACAATATTCGAGCATCTTGTCTAACCATCTCTTTCAATATGTCCCATATATAGTATTTGCAAAGGTATATATATTAAATAAATATATAGTATTCATAAAATTACTAATTAATTTGAATGTATTTTATAAACTACTTAAAAAAAAGAAAATTAAAAATAATTATTTTAATCTTTTTATCTATTATTTAGTAATCAATAAATGATATTGATGACTGATCGAATGCAATATCTATATAGAAACGAAAACTTTTATTCAACATTTATACGATCTTTAATAAGTATTATTTTCAATCTTTGAAATATAATCAATAAATGTTTATATAATGAAACATGTATATAGCATTTATCTAGAACAATGAATTAAGGAATTAACATTAACATGAAAAATATAAATTCTGTTTAAAAAATGATTCCATGCGAAATTTCCTCTAAAATATCTTTAACATATTTATCTTACAGGTTCAAAATAATCATAAAGAATGTAAACGAAAGTGTTTACAAGTTTCTTTCTTTCTATACCAAAATCGGGTATATCGATTCTCCGTGAATAACTTTGTTTAGCTTACTCAAGTCTAAGTGCTTTTTTTCTGCAATCGGTAGGAAACCTGTTCGTACGAGCAACGGAATGTCTGAGTGGCTGCCGTCCTCTCATCTCCGTGCAATTCCACACGTAGTAGACGAGTCGACCAAGTAAGATCGTTCATTCTGTAAAGAACATTTTTGTTTTAATTTTTGTTTTTCATTAGAAAATCCGTCATAATATAACTACTGAAATAAAAAATGAAAAATAATCAAATAAAAGAAGGATAAAAGGAAGTAGTTATTATATATAGTATATTAAAAATAAAATTAATAAAAGTAGCTAAATAATAAAGTTTTTAAAACTATTTAAAGTCATCATATTATAAATATTCATTAGATATTACATATCAATATATGCAAGATTAGAAAGAATATAGAAAAAAAGAGAAAGGAAAAAGGAGAAGAGGAGAAGAGAGAAGAGAAGAGAGGAAAGGAGAGAAGAGAAGAGGAGAGGAGAGGAGAGGAGAGGAGAG